GTCTTCTATATGGCTGTGGATCTGTCCAATGTGTGGAGAATCACACCGTTCATAAATTCAGTCATCTCTATTACCGGCTGTGATGATACGTTTTGTCAGGGGTTCAACTGCCAATATATTGTCTCAGGGGTTCAACTGCCAATACATCGTCTCAGGGGTTCAACTGCCAATCATCGTCTCAGGGGTTCAACTGCCAATACATCGTCTCAGGGGTTCAACTGCTGACACATTGTCTGAGCAGTAGGCATTCTAAAACATGGCCTCAGGGGTTCAACCACCGATACATTGTCTTAGAGCACCCAACTCCCATACATTGTTTCAGGGTCCAACCGCCCATACATTGTCTCAGGGGTCCAACCGCCGATACATTGTCTCAGGGTTTCTACCGCCGATACATTGTCTCAGGGTTTCTACCGCCGATACATTGTCTCAGGGTTTCTACCGCCGATACATTGTCTCAGGGTTTCAACCGCCGATACATTGTCTCAGGGTTTCTACCGCCGATACATTGTCTCAGGGTTTCTACCGCCGATACATTGTCTCAGGGTTTCTACCGCCGATACATTGTCTCAGGGTTTCTACCGCCGATACATTGTCTCAGGGTTTCTACCGCCGATACATTGTCTCAGGGTTTCTACCGCCGATACATTGTCTCAGGGTTTCTACCGCCGATACATTGTCTCAGGGTTTCTACCGCCGATACATTGTCTCGGGTCCAACCGCCGATACATTGTCTCGGGTCCCAACCGCCGATAATGGTCTTTTAGTGCCCACTGAACTTGCATTGTCGCAGGGGTCCAACCATTGTCTCAGAGCGCCCAACACCCATACATTGTTTCAGGGTTTCTACCACCGATACATTGCCTTGGAGCATCCAATGCCCAATACATTGTCTCAGGGGGTCCAACTGTCAATGCAATATCTTAGAGCACCCATACACTGTCTCAGGGTTTCTACCACCAATAATTGTTTAAAGTGCCCAACACCCATATGTTGTCTCAGGGTTCCAACCGCCAATACCATGTCTTAGAGCGCCCAACATCCATCCATACATTGCCTCAGGGTTTCTACCACCGATATATTGTCTTAGAGCACCCAACTCCCATACATTGTCTCAGGGGTCCAACGTCTTCAAGCACACAACACCCATACATTGCTTCAAGGTTTCTACCACCAATATGTTGTTTCGGAGCGCCTATCGCCAATACATTGTCTCAGGGGTCCAACCGCTGTTACAATGTCTTAGAGCGCCCAACACCAGTACAATGTCTCGGGGGTTCTACCGTCCATACATGGTCTCGGGGGTTCTACCGTCCATACATGGTCTCGGGGGGGTCCATACATGGTCTCGGGGGTTCTACCGTCCATACATGGTCTCGGGGGTTCTACCGTCCATACATGGTCTCGGGGGTTCTACCGTCCATACATGGTCTCGGGGGTTCTACCGTCCATACATTGTCTCGGGGGTTCTACCGTCCGATACATTGTCTCGGGGGTTCTACCGCCCATACATTGTCTTGTGCCGGATACATTGCCTCAGAGCCCCAACCGCCGATATAAAGTACAGAAACCATAGTTTCAGGGTTTTGCACTGACTGCCAGCAGTCCTTCATATGGACAACGACCAGATAGTATTATATTAGGTTGTAAATATAAAGGAAAAAGCTGAACAAACTAATGTTACGTAATGACAAATCTTAAGATTTCAAGTTTTAAGACGGGAAGGAAATAAACCCAAAGCTGACATTTCAGTCTTAAACGGCACTTGAGCTAAACCCGCCACCCGCATCTTGTATCTCTGGGACTCCAGTATGACTGCAGTACTTGACGGCCGGATTCAAATCCTTTTTTGAACCCATTTTTACCAATCCTATAGTTTATTACATTGCCCTGGTCATTCATGGGCGTCCATCGCGTGTGACGATGCGTCAAGGCAGACAATACGTGGCAACACACTGCAGGGATGTGAACTGGCGCCATGTCTAGTGATGGCTACTTATGGTGGGAAGAGGATGTCGTCATACCTATACAAGGAAGGGGCCTCCATTGCCCACATTATAGAGGACGGAGGAGACCCCATCATTCGTCAGAAAACTCTGCCTGGCCACTGGAGTCCAAGAGACACAAGACGGCAGAATGGGATTTAACTTGCCAACAACCAAGGACACCGAAATATCAGTTTGTGCCGAAGATAGAAGAGTACCTGTCACCTATGCAATATAGGATTGGCCATTTTGAGTGAAAACATTAAACTGTCCAATCAAGTCAGCAGGAGCGAACAATCTGTGGAATATAGAAAATGGGGATAGAACAGTATTAATACCAGGGCTATGCATGGAAAAATATATAAACCTGTCCAATGTAGAGGATACAAACAATGCTTGAGGGGAAAGACTGCCACCTTGAAATAGATACTGTGCCAAAAAAAACCCAAAAAAACTACTGGATACATTACTGATCGCTGTTGTGTACAGAATGATCGCTAAAACCTCAGACAAAAAAAAAAAAAAACAACCCATCACCGATCAAACATCGATTCCTAATCAGCCGTGGAGGAGCCCAGCGAAATGTCCAAAGTGGCCATCACAACAGATGGACACGGGGGTGGATAGAGTTTCCAATGAAAAGTCTTAAAATTTGTACGAAATGCTCAGAACATTCGAATATCGGTCAAAAGGTTTTGTTTTCACATTTGATTTTGGAATGAACAAACATTACAGAACAAAAACCACATTTACTGTTAGAAGTTCGTTCAAAAAATCGTTTCCATGATGCTCCTTTCAATTTTCTCGTCACTGCAGTTAAAAAAAAAAAACCCCAAAAAAAAACGACCGTCTATCTGACCCCCAATAATGATTAGAAAATCCAAGGAACTTTCTTTTCCTAAGAATTTTTGTTCTAGATTCCACCCATCTATGGCCAGCTTTAGGCTGAGTGATTGTGGGGCAGCACTGCCTTGATCTTCTAAAGACCAGTTTGTAACGGCAACTAGACCTCCATGGGTGACGCCACCGTTGTACAACCAGATGTGTTTGTTGACCTTTTGAAAAATTATTAGAAATAAAATTGGGGCAACAGCATCTATGGCCAGCGTTTAGGCTGTACAGGGTGAGTGATGGTGGGACAACACTGCCTTGATCTTCTAAAGACCAGTTGGTACGGCAACTAGACCTCCATGCGTGAAGCCACCATTGTACAACCAGATGGGTGTGTTGACCTTTCGAAAAATTAAAAATTGGGGGCAACAGCATCTATGGCCAGCTTTAGGCTGTACAGGGTGAGTGATGGTGGGGCAGCACTGCCTTGATCTTCTAAAAACCAATTTGTACGGCAGCTAGACCTCCCATGGGTGACACCACCACTGTATAGCCAGACGGGTGTGTTGTCCCAATTTTTTATTTTTTTATTTTTTCAAAAGGTCAACAGCATCTATGGCCAGCTTTAGGCTGTACAGGGTGAGTGATGGTGGGGCAGCACTGCCTTGATCTTCTAAAAACCAATTTGTACGGCAGCTAGACCTCCATGGGTGACGCCACCATTTTAACCAGATGGGTGAGTTAACCTTTTTAAAAAAAATGATTAAATAAAAAATTGGGGCAACACCATCTATGGCCAGCTTTTAGGCTGTACAGGGTGAGTGATAGTGGGGCAACACTGCCTTGATCTTCTAAAAACCAGTTTGTACGGCAACTAGACCTCCATGGGTGACGCCACCATTGTGGGTGACGCCACCACTGTATAGCCAGATGGGGTGTGTTGACCTTTTGAAAAATTATTCTAAAATAAAAAAATTGGGGCAACACCAGTTTTTTTTTTTTCTTTGTATACATAGCAATCTGTTGGTCCTGCTGAGCTGGTAGACTATACTACTTCAGCTAACAAAATGGCCATCAGCATGGATCACAGGTACCCAGAATCATGTATTTTAGATGCATTAATTGCCATGTCCTAAGCCAGGCATGGCAGACACAAATGCTCTAACTCTAAGACCAGTTAAGTGATCGACAAATCACTCGCCATACCCCCCCTCCAATCGCGCGCAGCAAACGTTCATCCTCGTAAGGCAAGCATATTGCATAGTGTCCCTAACCAGTGCCGTCTACATCTTCTCCTTCTCCACCCACCGTGCCACCCCATCCCGTACTACAGAACGAGCCACCATGTGGACTGGTGTTCAGGAGCTACGAGGTCCCGGTCATCGTCACTAGTGTTCAGCAGAGAGCGCCTATGTACATATTTATATTTCACTTCCGTCCGGCCAGATTCCAGAGTCGGGGTGACGTATGGAAATTGGGGTTAAGAGTGCACCTATGGCCCACAGCTAATTTTCATGAAGGTTATTCTGCCCAAAAGTCACGATTCACTTTTTTTGGAAACGAAAACGGTCCACCATCTTTATTACTTCTATAAAGTCTCCGGAGGATGGTCCTCACACCTCTCCGAGTCTTTCAGGAGCTCTACTCTACCAGTCCACCCCACCTTGGCATCCAATAGGACGGAGTCTACGGGGTGGCTATGGGGTGGAGAGAGCACGGCCCTGAAAGACCCAGACATTGATATTAACCAAAAAAGAGTGAAAGATCGGTTTTTGGCCAGAATGACCATCACTTAAATACTTTGAATTTTTGTAGCCGCCAGTTGAGCGGGATCAGGTGACAGTCGAGCTGGGAGGTCAGCTGATCCCGGTGAACCTTTAGGCTGCCGCCATCTTGACGAGACAGGTGCTCTTGACTCTCCAATGCTGGAAGCCTGGCCTCTCTTGGTCGAGTATTGATTCTTGGTGGCTCAGGAGGGGGAAGGCACGTGTCAAACAGCACTTGGTTTTTTTTTTTTTTTCTATTTACAGAATTTTCTGTAGAAGAATAGACATTTACAGCACCAAATAAATGGAGGGAGGTCTGGAGGGCGTTCTGGGAATCCTCCAAGGATAGTCTCTGATTTGTCCACAATCTCTGATTAAAAAAAAAAAAAAAAAAGTTCTCTTAGGATAGCGTCCCTGATCAACTGATGGCGCTGTCTCCGTCTCCGTCCTTATCGAACTCGTCCTGCATCTCGTCGGAGTTCCCTGAGTCGCTGCTGGCCACGGAACTTGTGGACGGAGAATTTCTGAAACAAAGAAATGGAAAGGTCAGTCCTGTGTATTCCATCTCGTGGAAACAATATACCTCTAGTGATTGGATAGGCTGCGTTCTCGGTGGCGTCACCGCTCTCTAGTGAACGGACAGGCTACGTCCTCGGTGACGTCACCGCTCTCTAGTGAACGGATAGGCCGTGTCCTCGGTGGCGTCACCGCTCTCTAGTGAACGGACAGGCTACGTCCTCGGTGACGTCACCGCTCTCTAGTGAACGGATAGGCCGTGTCCTCGGTGGCGTCACCGCTCTCTAGGTGAACGGATAGGCTGCATTCTTGGTGACGTCACCGCTCTCTAGGGAACGGATAGGCTGCGTTCTCGGTGACGTCACCGCTCTCTAGTGAATGGATAGGCTGCGTGCTCGGTGATGTCACCGCTCTCTAGTGAACGGATAGGCTGCCTTCTCGGTGACGTCACGGCTCTCTAGTGAACGGATAGGCTGCCTTCTCGGTGACGTCACCGCTCTCTAGTGAACGGATAGGCTGCCTTCTCGGTGACGTCACCGCTCTCTAGTGAACGGATAGGCTGCGTCCTCGGTGACGTCACGGCTCTCTAGTGAACGGACAGGCTGCGTCCTCGGTGACGTCACCGCTCTCTAGTGAACGGACAGGCTGCGTCCTCGGTGACGTCACCGCTCTCTAGTGAACGGATAGGCTGCGTCCTCGGTGACGTCACCGCTCTCTAGTGAACGGATAGGCTGCGTCTCGGTGACGTCACGCTCTCTAGTGAACGGACAGGCTGCGTTCTCGGTGACATCACCGCTCTCTAGGGAACGGACAGGCCGCGTTCTCGGTGACGTCACGGCTCTCTAGGGAACGGACAGGCCGCGTTCTCGGTGATGTCACGGCTCTCTAGGGAACGGACAGGCTGCGTTCTCGGTGAGGTCACCGCTCTCTAGTGAATGGATGGGCCGCATTTGTGGTGACGGCACTGGCTTCCATCGAATGGATAAGCTGTACTCTTGGACATCACTGGTCTCTAGTGAATGGATAGGCTGCAACCTCAGTGACATCACCTGTCCCTAGTGAACTGATGGGCTGCATTTGCGGTGACATCACCGGCTTCTAGTGAATGGATAGGCTGTACTCTGACATCATCGGTCTCTATAGTGAATGGATGAGCTGCACTCTCGGTGAAGTGTTTAGAAAATTTGCTCCCTTCAGGAAGGGACTCCTGTAATAGGGGAACCCACCCAGTCTTTCAGAGACGTCCCCCCCAGTATATTCCAGACAAGGTGACCCCCTCACCTGCCAACCGATCCCTTTATAAGTCTGCGACACGTCTCCATCTGGACATCCAGGCCCCTCTTCATGCTGCACATTTCCATGTATTCGTGGAGATGTCGGTTCATGTCGCTTTTTGCCGTCGCCAGTTCCAGCTGAAATGTGGAAGAAACATCATCCAATGAGATCTAAATCCACCGTTTATTAACCCCTTCCGGTCCGGACACTCTCTCCACCCCCCCTTCCGGTCCGGACACTTTCTCCACCCCCCCTTCCGGACCGGACACTTCTCCACCCCCCCTTCCGGGACCGGACACTTTCTCCACCCCCCTTCCGGGACCGGACACTTTCTCCACCCCCCCTTCCGGGACCGGACACTTTCTCCACCCCCCCTTCCGGGACCGGACACTTTCTCCACCCCCCTTCCGGGACCGGACACTTTCTCCACCCCCCCTTCCGGACCGGACACTTTCTCACCCCCCTTCCGGGACCCCTTTCTCCACCCCCCTTCGGGACGGACACTTTCTCCACCCCCCTTCCGGGACGGACACTTCTCCCCCCCCCTTCCGGACCGGACACTTTCTCCACCCCCCTTCCGGTCCGGACACTTCTCTCCACCCCCCTTCCGGTCCGGACACTTTCTCCACCCCCCCTTCCGGTCCGGACACTTTCTCCCCCCCCCCTTCCGGACCGACACTTTCTCCACCCCCCTTCCGGACCGGACACTTTCTCCACCCCCCTTCCGGTCCGGACACTTTCTCCACCCCTTCCGGTCCGGACACTTTCTTCACCCCCCCCCCCCCTTTTCTGGACACTTTCTCCACCCCCCCACCTTCCGGTCACTTTCTTTCTCCACCAACCCAGACACCCCCCCCCCCCCCCCCCTTTCCCCTTCCTCCATACACTCTTACCCTCCCCTCCGGCCCAGACACTCCCCCCACCCCCTTCGGTCCGGACCAATTTTCAGCGCTATCACACTTTGAATGACAATTGCGCGGTCATGCAACACTGCACCCATATGAATTTTTTAGCATTTTTTGGGAAAGATAAAGCTTTATTTTGGTGGTATTTATTCACCACTTGCTATGTAAATGAAAAAGTCCACAAATTTTGAAAAAAAGTGTTTCTTATAAAATTTTGCAAATAAATAATATTTCATCATAAATCTCGGCCAAAATGTATTCCGTTATCTTTTTAGTAAAAAAAAAAAAAAAAAACCCAAAGTTTAGTTTATAACCAAAAATTATAATTTTTTTAAACATTTTCAGAATATTATTTAGGTTTTTTTTTTTTTTTTTTTAACATACTGTCACCCTAGCAGTAGTGTCACCATGGCGACACTACACTACTTGTGGGGGGGTGATGAAGATTTTTTATTTATTTTTACACAACCGATTGCTTTTATACCCATATAGGATGTAAGAGGAATCATTTCTCCTCTCTGGCTGCATTCCTGCAGCCATTGAGAAATACTGTGTGAGCTGTGATTGGTCACAGCTTGTCACATGGTACAAGGCTGTTGTGAATGGTCCTGTACCATGTGATCTCTGTGATCATTCACAGATTTCACACGTAGTAAGCAATGATGTCACAAGTGATATCTTGCTTACTACTCTGCATGTAATCACTGATTGGCCAATCAGTGATCACATGATCGGGACCTAACACAGAATTCCTGTCTGATGATCGGTGTTCCACTGTGTCCAGGCACCGGATTCCGTTACTGTGCGCTCCCAGGGAGCGCGCACAAGCAGGGGGCGGGGAGGCCATTTATAAACGTCCACCCGCCCCTGCACTGCACTGCCACCGTCCGTCTGTTTATATACCACGGCCGGACAGGAGGTGGTTAAATGTTCTATCAATATTTGATTTTCAGCGTCACCAATCATTTATCTGGTCATTATGGTGGACGTGCTGCCAATTTTCAGCGAATCAGAGATTCGTCCAGCTTTGCCCGGTCACTCCATTCTATAGCAATGGTAGGGGAGCTGCAGCCACAGGAACTAAAGAACATCCCGTGATCACCGGAACACCGCCAATGTGCCGCAAAGCAGCCGATCAAACTGCACTGCACCGCAAAGTGATGTCATCCTAACATGTTTCAGGCGCTGGGGAAGGAAGGGTTAGGCCTTCACTCATGGCCGGTGTACGTGAAATGCGCGGACCGCGGAGAGGAGCCGCTTCTAGTTTTCCCCCCAAATAGAAATCGCCTGATACAGAATACAATACGATCACCTTACTAATAACCGCGCACGCTCGGCCTCACCTCGATCTGGTCGATGGTCTCCTGGTACTCCTTGTCTCGCGTTTTCAGGAACGTCTCCGTCTCCTGGATGAGACTGCCCAGACTCTCCTCCTGCAAGAGACACGACGGGAAGCGGTGAATATGTCGGAGGAGTCAGAGATACATTTCACATCGAGTCTGACTTGTATCCAGAACTGAACTATAAATGAGGACTTTTGTGTTCTAGATCAGCGCTACCCAACCCTTCAGAACGGTGCGCAGTCTTGGGGCCCGCCGGGCTGACGACTCCTTCACACCAGGGAGGGGCATCCCAGCGCCTGCGCTTTTATATTTTGCGCGTTCCCGTGTTTCGAGGTTTTTTTTTTTTTTTTTATAAGGCTGAGCTACGCATAAAAAAAAAAAAAAAAAAAAAAAAAGTGGTGGCATGATTTGTAAAATTGCGCTGCACCAAAACACGTGGTACAATACAGCAGGGGCAGTGCGATAGTGCGTGCAAAAATCACGGGTTTTCCCGCACCACACAGAAATGTCATGGACACTGCGCAACTGTGTGGTGCGGGAAAACACGCGATTTTGCACGCATTACTGCACTGCGTCTGATGTGAACAAGCCCCAGAATGTAGTTTGTTGGGGAATGAATTACAAACCCCAGAACTCTCACAAACACCCCCCCCCCTAGCAAAAATCCTCCCCATCTCCCCCCCCCCCTCAAAAAAAACAAAATCCTCCCCATCTTCCCCCCCACCCAAACACAAATCCTCCCCATCTTCCCCCCCACCCAAACACAAATCCTCCCCATCTTCCCCCCCACCCAAACCCCCCCACTTCCCCCCCACCCAAACACAAATCCTCCCCCCATCCCCCCCCCCCCCCCCCCACACCAAACACAAATCCTCCCCATCTTTCCCCCCACCCAACACAAATCCTCCCCATCCCCCACAAATCCTTCCCATCTTTCCCCCCACCCAACAAAAATCCTCCCCATCAACCCAACCTCCCCCCACCCAACACAAATCCTCCCCATCTTTCCCCCCACCCAACACAAATCCTCCCCATCCCCCACAAATCCTTCCCATCTTTCCCTCCACCCAACAAAAATCCTCCCCCATTCCCCACCTAACACAAATCCTTCCCATCTTCCCCCCACCCAACACAAATCCTCCCCACCCAACACAAAAATTCTCCCCATCAACCCAACCTCCCCCCACCCAACACAAATCTTCTCCATTCTCCCCGACAAAAATCCCTCCCCCACCAAACACATATCCTCCCCATCCCTCCTATCACAAATGGGGACTGTGCTCCCCCCTTCTATCCATATACAGGAAATGACACCGGAATGCTGCCCAATCAGGAACGTGCAGGATTTGTTTACTACCCCCTACCCAGGACAGACAGGGGGCGGATAATCAAACCTTGTGCTTTCTGATCTCTGTGTGTTCTGCCCCATCTCCTCTATACAGGGTGGAAGGAGAAAGCACAGCCTGCGCCTCCTCCCGGCACTCTCCCCCTATCTGTACTCCTGTCAGCAACCCAGAAAGCTGCGCAGGCGCACGACACGTCCTGGGGAACCAACAATTTCATCGGTTGGTAGGACACGGGATGGCGGAGACACAGGGCACCAAAGACGCAGCAGGCAGGACGTGAAACGCCCCACACCCGCACTGCAGGGCTCGGGACAGATCCGTCACATTTAAAAGGAAAATGTTTTTATTGCGCTTCAGCATGAAAGGGGCCCAATACCTCTGATAGGTCCTAACCGAAATATTGGGACCTTCTGATGTTCATCTTCTGCGTTCAACCTTCAAATTTTACTTTTTCTTAACCATCAAATGTTTTCAATATACAAAATCAGATAAAACTTTGAATAACACTTATTGAAAAAAAAAACAAAAAAAAACAAAACAAAACAAAAAAAAAAGCACTTTCTTCCGACAACCCAACCCGACCCCCCCCCCCCCCCCCCACACACACACACACACCTTGCGCTGATTGGAGCACAACAGTTGTGGTAGCAATGGGGGGAGGGGGGAGTTCTGGCTGAGGGGTCAAACGCAAAAGGTGCAATTTTTTTTTTTTGTGCTTTTCAATAGCAAATTTTTTTAAGCTGCCCCCCTCCCCAGGAAAAATGTATAAAATGAAAGCTACTACGGGATTTAATGTGTAAAACTGACATTCTGAGCAGATAAACGACTCGCCTCTCCCGGGACCTCCACCGGCGTGGGGTTACAGTTTGCGAAATCTTCCCACAGCAGCAGCGTGTCTTCGTTCTCCTCCCACGTCAAAAACTGTCGCAGTCGTCATCGAAGTCGTACGTCTCCCGCCTGTAAAATGACAAAAATGACTCGCATTATGAAAATGGTTCGAAAATTGCCGCAGCGATACTTTGAGAACAAACATTGTCACCCGGGTAAGAGGATGAGGATGGTGTCAGAGAGGTTTGATTCCAGGACGTCCACTAGGTGGCGCTGTGGTGTCAGGATTGATGGCAATTGGCTTGTACCACACAAAGCAGATTCTGTTGTTCGAATAAACCGACTTTTATTCCTAGCAGAAGGAAGAGCGCCCCATCGTTGGTGTCAGTGGGAGGCATAGTGCGCCCGTCATTGGTGTCAGTGGGAGGCATAGTTCGGCCGTCATTGGTGTCAGTGGGAGGCATAGTGCGCCCGTCATTGGTGTCAGTGGGAGGCATAGTGCCCCGTCATTGGTGTCAGTGGGAGGCATAGTGCGCCCGTCATTGGTGTCAGTGGGAGGCATAGTGCGCCCGTCATTGGTGTCAGTGGGAGGCATAGTGCGCCCATCATTGGTGTCAGTGGGAGGCATAGTGCGCCCATCATTGGTGTCAGTGGGAGGCATAGCGCCCCGTCATTGGTATCAGTGGGAGGAATAGCGCCCCATCATTGGCGTCAGTGGGAGGAATAGTGCCCCATCATTGGCGTCAGTGGGAGGAATAGTGCCCCATCATTGGCGTCAGTGGGAGGAATAGCGCCCCATCATTGGCGTCAGTGGGAGGAATAGTGCCCCATCATTGGTGTCAGTGGAAGGAATAGTGCCCCATCATTGGTATCAGTGGGAGGAATAGTGTCCCATCATTGGTGTCAGTGGGAGGAATAGTGTCCCATCATTGGTGTCAGTGGGAGGAAAAGTGCCCCATCATTGGCGTCAGTGGGAGGAAAAGTGCCCCATCATTGGCGTCAGTGGGAGGCATAGTGCCCCATCATTGGCGTCAGTGGGAGGCATAGTGCCCCATCATTGGCGTCAGTGGGAGGCATAGTGCCCCATCATTGGTGTCAGTGGGAGGAATAGTGCCCATCATTGGTATCAGTGGGAGGCATAGTGCCCCATCATTGGTGTCAGTGGGGGGAATAGTGCCCCATCATTGGTGTCAGTGGGGGGAATAGTGCCCCATCATTGGTATCAATGGGAGGAATAGTGCCCCATCATTGGTGTCAGTGGGAGGCATAGTGCCCCATCATTGGTATCAATGGGAGGCATAGCGCCCCATCATTGGTATCAATGGGAGAAATCGTGTTCCTCCCGCTGACACCAGTGTTGGGGCACGGCTCCTCCCGCTGACACCAGTGTTGGGGCGCTATTCCAACATTGTATCAGTGCCCCGTTCAGTGGTGTCAGTGGGAGAAATAGCATTCCATCATTGTATTGGTGGGAGGAAGACTGCCCCATCATTGGTGTCAGTGGGAGGCATAGTGCGCCCATCATTGGTGTCAGTGGGAGGCATAGCGCCCCGTCATTGGTATCAGTGGGAGGAATAGCGCCCCATCATTGGCGTCAGTGGGAGGAATAGTGCCCCATCATTGGCGTCAGTGGGAGGAATAGTGCCCCATCATTGGCGTCAGTGGGAGGAATAGTGCCCCATCATTGGCGTCAGTGGGAGGCATAGTGCCCCATCATTGGCGTCAGTGGGAGGCATAGTGCCCCATCATTGGTGTCAGTGGAAGGAATAGTGCCCCATCATTGGTATCAGTGGGAGGAATAGTGTCCCATCATTGGTGTCAGTGGGAGGAATAGTGTCCCATCATTGGTGTCAGTGGGAGGAAAAGTGCCCCATCATTGGTGTCAGTGGGAGGAAAAGTGCCCCATCATTGGCGTCAGTGGAGGCATAGTGCCCCCATCATGGTGTCAGTGGGAGGAAAAGTGCCCCATCATTGGCGTCAGTGGGAGGCATAGTGCCCCATCATTGGCGTCAGTGGGAGGCATAGTGCCCCATCATTGGCGTCAGTGGGAGGCATAGTGCCCCATCATTGGTGTCAGTGGGAGGAATAGTGCCCCATCATTGGTGTCAGTGGGAGGAATAGTGTCCCATCATTGGTGTCAGTGGGAGGAAAAGTGCCCCATCATTGGTGTCAGTGGGAGGAAAAGTGCCCCATCATTGGCGTCAGTGGGAGGCATAGTGCCCCATCATTGGTGTCAGTGGGAGGAAAAGTGCCCATCATTGGCGTCAGTGGGAGGCATAGCGCCCCATCATTGGTATCAGTGGGAGGCATAGTGCCCCATCATTGGTGTCAGTGGGGGGAATAGTGCCCCATCATTGGTATCAATGGGAGGAATAGTGCCCCATCATTGGTGTCAGTGGGAGGCATAGCGCCCCATCATTGGTTCAATGGGAGAAATCGTGTTCCTCCCGCTGACACCAGTGTTGGGGCACGGCTCCTCCCGCTGACACCAGTGTTGGGGCGCTATTCCAACATTGTATCAGTGCCCCGTTCAGTGGTGTCAGTGGGAGAAATAGCATTCCATCATTTGGCGCTATATAAACTCGATAAATAAATAAATAAATAATTGTATTGGTGGGAGGAAGACTGCCCCATCATTGGTGTCAGTGGGAGGCATAGTGCGCCCGTCATTGGTGTCAGTGGGAGGCATAGTGCCCCGTCATTGGTGTCAGTGGGAGGCATAGTGCGCCCGTCATTGGTGTCAGTGGGAGGAATAGTGCCCCATCATTGGTATCAGTGGGAGGAATAGTGCCCCATCATTGGCGTCAGTGGGAGGAATAGCGCCCCATCATTGGCGTCAGTGGGAGGAATAGTGCCCCATCATTGGTGTCAGTGGAAGGAATAGTGCCCCATCATTGGCGTCAGTGGGAGGAATAGTGCCCCATCATTGGCGTCAGTGGGAGGAATAGCGCCCCATCATTGGCGTCAGTGGGAGGAATAGCGCCCCATCATTGGCGTCAGTGGGAGGAATAGTGCCCCATCATTGGTGTCAGTGGGAGGAATAGTGTCCCATCATTGGTGTCAGTGGGAGGAAAAGTGCCCCATCATTGGTATCAATGGGAGAAATCGTGTTCCTCCCGCTGACACCAGTGTTGGGGCACGGCTCCTCCCGCTGACACCAGTGTTGGGGCGCTATTCCAACATTGTATCAGTGCCCCGTTCAGTTGGTGTCAGTGGGAGAAATAGCATTCCATCATTTGGCGCTATATAAACTCGATAAATAAATAAATAAATAATTGTATTGGTGGGAGGAAGACTGCCCCATCATTGGTGTCAGTGGGAGGCATAGTGCGCCCGTCATTGGTGTCAGTGGGAGGCATAGTGCCCCGTCATTGGTGTCAGTGGGAGGCATAGTGCGCCCGTCATTGGTGTCAGTGGGAGGAATAGTGCCCATCATTGGTATCAGTGGGAGGAATAGTGCCCCCCATCATTGGCGTCAGTGGGAGGAATAGCCCCATCATTGGCGTCAGTGGGAGGAATAGTGCCCCATCATTGGTGTCAGTGGAAGGAATAGTGCCCCATCATTGGCGTCAGTGGGAGGAATAGTGCCCCATCATTGGCGTCAGTGGGAGGAATAGCGCCCCATCATTGGCGTCAGTGGGAGGAATAGCGCCCCATCATTGGCGTCAGTGGGAGGAATAGTGCCCCATCATTGGTGTCAGTGGAAGGAATAGTGCCCCATCATTGGTATCAGTGGGAGGAATAGTGTCCCATCATTGGTGTCAGTGGGAGGAATAGTGTCCCATCATTGGTGTCAGTGGGAGGAAAAGTGCCCCATCATTGGTGTGTTAGTGGGAGGAAAAGTGCCCCATCATTGGCGTCAGTGGGAGGCATAGTGCCCCCATCATTGGCGTCAGTGGGAGGCATAGTGCCCATCATTGGTGTCAGTGGGAGGCATAGTGCCCCATCATTGGTGTCAGTGGGAGGAATAGTGCCCCATCATTGGTATCAGTGGGAGGCATAGTGCCCCATCATTGGTGTCAGTGGGGGGGAATAGTGCCCCATCATTGGTGTCAGTGGGGGGAATAGTGCCCATCATTGGTATCAATGGGAGGAATAGTGCCCCATCGTAGGTGTCAGTGGGAGGAATAGTGCCCCATCATTGGTGTCAGTGGGAGGAATAGTGCCCCATCGTAGGTGTCAGTGGGAGGAACAGTGTCCCATCATTGGTGTCAGTGGGAGGAACAGTGCCCCATCATTGGTGTCAGTGGGAGGAATAGTGCCCCATCATTGGTGTCAGTGGGAGGAACAGTGCCCCATCGTAGGTGTCAGTGGGAGGAACAGTGTCCCATCATTGGTGTCAGTGGGAGGAACAGTGTCCCATCATTGGTGTCAGTGGGAGGAACAGTGCCCCATCATTGGTGTCAGTGGGAGGAACAGTGCCCCATCATTGGTGTCAGTGGGAGGAACAGTGCCCCATCATTGGTGTCAGTGGGAGGAACAGTGCCCCATCATTGGTGTCAGTGGGAGGAACAGTGCCCCATCATTTGTGTCAGTGGGAGGAACAGTGCCCCATCATTGGTGTCAGTGGGAGGAACAGTGCCCCATCATTGGTGTCAGTGGGAGGAACAGTGCCCCATCATTGGTGTCAGTGGGAGGAATAGTGCCCCATCATTGGTGTCAGTGGGAGGAACAGTGCCCTGACACCAATGATGGGGCAGTATTTCTCCCACTGACACCAATGGCATAGGCTCTACCGGGATCCTGTCGAAAGCCCCCAAATTCCACTTCAGGATTACTTGTCCTAACATACACAACATAATATTTAGTGACACCTCAGCCCCCCCTTGTCCCACGAGGGGCACCCCACCATACTCACAGCTGGTTGAACATTCTCTTCATCTCATCGGTGATGTTGAGGGAACAGCTGACCTCGTCCTCGGAGAAGTGGCCGGCGTCGGCGTCTTGCTCGGAGAGGTTGTCCTCATTGGTCAGCTTCTTCTCCCTCTTTTTCGTCACGGCCCCCACCTTCGGAGATAGAAGCCTCGTGAGTCACAAACCTCTCCTGTGTCCGGCCCGTGTGGCTCAGTGGGTAGGATGGACGCTGTGTGCACATTCAGTGGCAGCCTCGGCCGTGGCACGCATGCAATGCAGAGCAGGATGCACAGCACAGAGCAAAGCCCTAGTCTACGGTCCCCACACATCACACAGGACAGGAGGGAGATACAGAGTTACAAATCACAATGTTACAGAACACAATGAGCAGAGGCTCCGACCTGCACCGCTGCACCTGCACCGCACAACCATGGGAGGAAAACCTTCTATTTGCGTGGCTGGTGGTGGCTACCGTGATGGGAAGAAGTCAAAGAATAAAAACACAGCAAAGCTGACACGGCCCTAAAGCTGAACTCCGAGCGGACAGAAAATACACAAAGAAAAATGCTCTTCTGTATAATACATTGTTACATTTATTTATATATAGCTACACTTTTGTCTGAATCTGATTAATGTGACCGATTGGGAGGAGCAGCACAAGGAGCCAATCAACTGCCCTGCCTTGGTGACCTATGTGGATGGAAGGAGAGAGTATCTCAGGCTGAGGCTTCTCCACTCACTGTCCAATCAGTGGCTGGGGGAGGAGCAAGACCTGTAAGTATGGACTAACTGCAGCAGAGAAAAATCAGGTCTCCTGCCCTGCCAGACACAGCTGTGCTGTATAGCCTATGGTGTCACTCAGAACTGAACGAACAAATCCCTGGATAGGTAGCTCATAGAGTGTGTGTTTACATACACATTATATATATATATTTATATTATGAGCTACCTCTCAAGGGATTTGTATATATAAAGTGTGTGTACAGGCGTACCTCGGTTTACAAATGTAATGCGTTCTGCGGGACATTTCATATTGCGAAAAATTCAGAAACCGAAACGCGGTTTCCCATAGGAATGCATTGAAAACAATTAATCTTTTCCGGAGGTAAAAAAAAAAAAAAAAAAAAAAAAAAAAAAAAAAAGTAAAAAAATAAGTCTTTTATCTGTTCAAAACTCTTTATAAAGTGCACTTTAAAAGGCATAAATACTGTACAGGGACATGATTAAAAAAAAAAAAAAAAAAAAATCGTAAATGCATTGAAAACCAATTAATCCATTTTGGAGGTCAAAAAAAAAAAAAAAAAAGTATGAAGAGTTTTGAACAGATAAAACTTTTTTTTTTTTTTTTACTCTTTTTCTGACCTCCGGAACATATTGTTTTTCAATGTATTTACAATTTATTTATTTTTTTAAATCCTGTCCCTTTATGCCTTTAAAAAAAGTTTTATCTGTTCAAAACTCTTCATAAAGTGCACTTTAAAAGGCATAAAAGGGACAGGATTAAAAAAAAAAAAAAATAATAAATAAATTGTAAATGCATTGAGAACCAATTAATCCGTTCCAGGGGTCAGAAAAAAAAAAAAAAAAAAATATATATATTTTATCTGTTGAAAACTCTTTATAAAGTGCACTTTAAAGGCATAAATACTATACAGGGTCATAATTACAAATTAATTCAGAATTAATTGGTTTTTACAAATTAATTTATCATGACCCTGTACAGTATTTATGCCTTTAAAGTGCACTTTATAAAGAGTTTTCAACAGATAAAATACTTTTTTTTTACTTTTTTCTGACCTCCGGAACAGATTATTTTGGTTTTCAATGCATTTACGGAGGTCATAAAAAAGTAAAAAAAAGTCTTCTGTTGAAAACTCTTTATAAAGTGCACTTTAAAAAAGGCATAAATACTGTACAGGGTCATGATAAAAAATTAATTTGTAAAATGCATTAAAAACCAATTAATTTGTTCTGAATTAATTTGTAATTATGACCCTGTACAGTATTTATGCCTTTAAAGTGCACTTTATAAAGAGTTTTTTATCCGGAAAAGTTTTCAATGCATTTTACAAATTAATTTTCAATGTCCCAGATATGCCTTTTAAAAATAAAGCGTTTTTTTTTTTTTTTTTTTTTTCTGACCTCCAGTACGGATTAATTGGTTTTCAATGCATTTACGGAGGTCACAAAAAAGTAAAAAAAAGTTTTTTTTTATCTGTTGAAAACTCTTTATAAAGTGCACTTTAAAGGCATAAATACTGTACAGGGACACGATTAAAAACAAAATTTGTAAATGCGTTGAAAACCAATTAATTCGTTCGTATTGCAAAAGAAATTTGTAAACCGAGGCGTTATTTTCAACGGATTTTCATTCGTAAACCGAAAATTCCGTTCACCGAGGCGTTTGTAAACGGAGGTCCGCCTGTATAAAGAACATCTCTCATGTGTGTATCTACCCATCAGCCTGGAGTTCGGCTTCCAATGAACCTCCCCGGATCTTAGTTTACCTTTCTTTGTTGCTGCGCCGATGAATTGTGAACGCAGCAATAGACAACTGGAATCGCAACACCAACCAAGCAAATGATCCCCCAATAGAGGATGGGTCCCCAGACTTTGTGCTTACGTTACATAATAAAAAGGAAAAGGGGGTCCCAGAGCGGACCGCTTGGCCGGATGAGAAGGTCAAAACAGAGAGAAAGAGAGAAGTTCCGTCACCTGGAACATCCTGGATACGTCCTCGGAATTGCGCTGCTGTGCCACATCACACAGCTTGGCGGTGATATCAATCCGCCTGCAGATATCCATGTCCACCTTCATGGCTTTTTCCTGGATCTTTGAGTCGAGATCGGTCATAGGCTGCGGGGATATTTTGGATATTATCTTCTCTTTCTCTTATTTTTTATATAAATCTTGTACAAAAACCTTATTTTCTACATTGTATAAATCACATTCAGTACTGTGTATGTCATTCGTGATCGGTCTGCGGTTGTGCTATACGATTAATGCCATAGGGTTCAACCTTCAAGAGAGGAACGATTCCACCAACATGCAATTTATAAAACAAGCCATTCAAGCCAGCAGGGCAGGCCGGGTGACTGCAGAACGTTGAGCTGCTGCACTGAACAATGGAAAAAAATCGACTCCCTGCCAAAGATCAGATTGATTCGGCGTGACCCAACAGACTATAACATTTGCCTGAATAATTCACACTATAGTGAAAATTGTAAGTCAAGTTAGGTTGCATCCAAAAATGGTCGTCTACGATTTAAAAAGGGTGAGCTCACTCTGATGTGACCGATGGACGATTCAGCCATCTAACTGGCTCTGAGGGACTCCAGTGGTCTCTGTGCCTAAAATTTCCAGATTTGTAAACCACACCTTAGGTAGGGATCTGAGGTGGGAGGAAACAGAGGCATCAATGGCAGATTAGTCTGCTCACCTGTAGTCAAAAGAGAAGTTTTGGGTGGTCTGACCCTAAAAAAAAAAAAAAAAATAAATAGTATATCTTTGCTGTAACACAAAACGTTGATTTCTCTGCAAGTTACAGGAAAGCGGAAATCCCCAAAATTTTAATTTCAGTCACCTGGTCAAAACTGGTTAGTGAATGTCTCTAAAAACCACAGACTTCATTTCTCGTGACCACTAGATAAACACAACGGATTCTGGATCACAGGTACCTAGTACTGCACTTGTTCATAGCCAACTTCGGATGATCAAAGCCAGGTATGGATGGTCACAGCCAACTGTAGACGGGTCATAGCCAACTATGGAAGACTACAGCCAACTATGAACAGTCACAGCCAACTGTCAATGACTTTCTGTAGTTGGCTATGGTCATCCATAGTTGGCCATGACCGTCCACAGTTGGCCATGACCCCAACTGTAGACTAGTCACAGCCAACTGTAGATGGGTTATAGCCAAATATGGACAGTCACAACCAGCTGTAGATGGGTCATGGCTGTGACTATCCATAGATGGCCAACAGTAGATGGGTCATAGCCAACTATGGGTGATGAGCACTGCCAACTGTAAGGTCATAGCCAACTATGGACAGTCACAGCCAACTGTAGATGGCTATGACCCATGTACAGTTGGCTATGACCAGTTTTCAGTTGGCTGGGGTCATCTTTAGTTGGCCATGACCCATGTACAGTTGGCCGTGGTCATCCACAGTTGGCCATGACCCATCTACTGTTAGCTGTGATCATCCATAGTTGGCCATGACCCATCTACAGTTGGCTGTGATTGTCCATAATTGTCTATGACCCAACTGTAGATGGGTCATAAGCAACTATAGACAGTTACAACCATCTGTAGATGGGTCATGGCCAACTATGAACACTCACAGCCAATGGTAGATGGGCCATACCCCATGGTGGATGACCACAGCCAACTATAGATGATCATAGCAAACTATGGGCCAACTGTAGATGGCTCATAGCCAACTATGGACAGCCACAGCCAAACATAGATGGGTCTTTCCCATGTATTGTTTACCACAACCAACCGTAGATGGGTCCTACCAAACTATGGATGACCACAACCAACCGTAGATGGGTCCTACCAAACTATGAATGACCACAGCCAGCTATGGCTGGTCATAGCAAAACTATGGGCCAACTGTAGACGGGCTCATAGCCAACTATGCACAGCCACAGCCAACCGTAGATGGGTCCTTCCCATGTATTGATGACCACAGCCAACTGTAAATGGATCCTACCCAATTATGGATGTCCACAACCAACCGTAGATGGGTCCTTCCCATGTATTGATCACAGCCAACCGTA